TACTTGGTGTTTGCCAATATAAACCTGAAAGTTTTCAGTTGTCCTCAGATACCTGAAAAATTTGGATGACAAACAAACTTTGTCTCACAAAATTCTCTTTACTCACAAAGCCGTTATGGGGGTGTGGGTGGAAAGAAGAGAGAGGAATGAGATGAAAGTCGTGACGGCACAAAAACAAATACAAATTAAAGTTATAAAACTGAGTAGTTGGGAGAAATTGACTGATTGACTTGTTCCGCCTCCAGCAGCGGAAAATCTGGTGGCTTGAGGTGAAAGGCGGGGCTAAATCCTGGAGCATCCAGCGACATTGGACCACCTCCCAGTTCCACAGATAGAGGAGCATTAGTGATAAATGAGGAGAGAACACGCAGCAGAAACAAATTAAAACTTCCATTTCATTGCCCACTTGTTACATTTTCAAACATGCAGCCATGTGCTTTCTTCCATGTTGCCTCTCACACTTGCGAGCAGCTCCCTGTAAACATCCACAAAGCTACCTCATTGGCCTCCTGCAAATCCCCTCTCAAAATTCTCCTTTGCTGCAATGCCTGCAACTCCTTCCCAAAACTTGGCAGCATTAGGCAGCTGGTGTGCCGAGACTATTGCCTCCCATGCTAACCATGATTGACTCATTGTTTCCTTGTGCTCCCTCGTCTGTCTGCATCCATCTGTTGTCTCTCATCTTATATTTGTATAGTTATATCTTTGGAGCTGGGACTGTTTTGGTTCTGGGTTTGTACAGCGCGTAGCACAATGGGGTCCTGGCCCATGACTAGCGATGCTAAGCACTAGTGCAATACAAATAGTAATACATGCTTTTTACAGAGTTAGACAAACCAATGAAAGGAACACAGTCTATGTAATATTCCGCCTTCCTTTCATGTGTTTTGTAATGGATTTTAGTAAGTCATTTATTAAAGAATCTCACCAAACCCCACATACAAACCTAATTCCAACTGGTTTGGATAGGACCACAGTTGCACGAACTGAGAATTAGCCAAAGGCTTGTAAACTAAAGGGTAAGGGTACAGGGCAAGTTGATAGATATCTGAAGAACAGCAGGGTTGGCATTACTTCCTGGTTTTATCAGGCCACATCCTCCCCATTGTCTAGTGGAGCTGGGTGGTAGTGGAACAAAGCCTATATTTATAGATGCCTGGAGTTCTGTGTTTGTTCCAAGCAGAGACAGCTGCAGCACGAACCTCTACGTGCTGCCCTGCTCATGTATCTCAACCCTGAGCAGGCAGTACGTCTTCTGGTAGAGAGGAGGAGACACCAAACACCATGCAACAGATGCTGGGCGCATTTCTGAATGCACTGCGGGAAGGCACTCAGCTGCCAGGGTGAGGCGTGCCATAGAAGAACCTGAGTGGAATAATGGCAAGAGGGTAGTTTAGTCTTTGTGACTTATCTTCAGTCTTTGGCCTCTCAGCTGCCACAAATAGTATGTGGAGACCAGGCCTTACATGTGTAAGGCCTGGTGGGTTTTGAGCCATCCCACCTCATAGAGGTGTATGATTATACTACCGCCTTATAGGAGCAAAAGAACGTCTCATTTTCATCAACACTGCGGGCTCTATAAATATCATAAGACTTCCTTGAGCAAAATTTGGCACAAGAGCTAATTTCTCAATGAATTATTATTATTAATTATTTGTATTACAGTAGCACCTAGAAGCCCTGGACCAGGATCTCTGTGGTAAATAAAGGGGCGGGGGGTAACTCCCTTTTATGGACACCCAACCAGCCAGTAAGCTATAAAATCCCCGTTAGTAGCTGTTCTCTACTTGCTTTACCTGTAAAGGGTTAAAAAAGTCCCCAAGTAAAGGAAAGGGAGTGGGCAGCTGACCAAAAGAGCCAATGGGAAGCCTAGACGTTTTTTAAATGGAAAAAACCCTTCTCTTTGTCTGTTGTTGTTCTCCGGGAAGAGGGGACAAAGCAGAGTCAGGGCTGGGACTATGCTGTAAAATGCTTTTTGCCAGGTATGGAAATCATCAGCTCATACCTAGAACTACCCAGATGCGTAAGTAGATCAGGAAAAGTCTAGAAAGACACGATTAGGGTTATTTCTTTTATTTCCTTATGGCATGTGGACTTCTCTGTGCTAACCTCAAATGGTTTTGTGTTGCTTGTAACCTTTAAGCTGGACTTCAAGAAGGCTATTCTTGATGTTTAATTTTTGTAAGTGGGTTTTTTAAATCTAGCAAAAGCCTAAGTTCCAGATGTATTTTCTTTCTTTTTTGTTTTGAATAAAGTTTACCTTTTTCACAAATAGGATTTGGATTTTTGTGTTTTAAGAGGTTTGTGCCCATGTTTTTTAGTTAGCTGGTGGCAACAGCTGATTTCCTTTGTTTTCCTTTCTCAGCTCTTCCCCGGAGGGGGGGTGAAAGGGTTTGAGAGTACCTCACATGAAGGAATTCCCAGAAGCCTTCCTGGGTTCCAAGGGGTTTTGCATTTGGGTGGTGGCAGCGTTTACCAAGCCAAGGTCAGAGAGAAGCTGTAACCTTGGGCGTTTAATACAAGCCTGGAGTGGCCAGTATTAATTATTAGAATCCTTGCGGGCCCACATCTTCTGCACTTGAAGTGCCAGAGTGGGAATTAGCCTTGACACCCCATTGAATTAAGTGCTATACAGAATAAAAAGACTGTACCTGTCCAAAATATCTGTGGGGCAGCGGGGGGATAGTTTACAAAATAGTTTACAATTTAGAAACTGCTTTAATACCTTCATGCCGGATTTTCCCAATGCGTTCAATACAATATGATTTCTCTATCTTCTCACGATTTGCTCTCTGGAATAGCTTCGTGAAATACCCTACATATCTCACGTCCATGAGAGATACAGCAGTCTCGCATGGAATCAACTGAGGATGACTGAATATATTAAAATATAGAGATTGAAAAATGAAAAAAATATTTTGCAGATCAGCTCAGAGTGTCAATGCTCCTTGGATTTGGCAGACTCCATTTTTTTCTTTTGTATTGGTATTTTAGGGTGGGGTGGGCAGGGGTTTAATGAAAAATTTTGAAGAAAAAATATTTGATTGTCAAAAATGAATGGGGGGAAAAAGAGAAAAAGATGGAGTGGGTGGGGAGGGGAGGGGAAGAAGAGGAAAAAACAAATAAAATGGTGATTAAAAATTGGATACATTTGATTAAAAATGTCAAAACCTGACAATCTTCCACACAAGTGTTCAGTGAAAAATGCCATTTTTGGATGAAAAACACTTGTTTGAAAAATGTTGACCTACTTTACTAAAAATATCAGAGAAGGCCACTGAGGCAGAGTCCCATTTAGTTCATTGCACACAGTGCGGATTAAGAGATTTAAAATGTTTCTTAAAAAACACCCAACGCTCCCCCTGCCATCCCCAAAAAAAACCCCCAGAACAACCCAGGAATCTTAGTCTAGCCACCTTGGGCAGAAATGAAGAAGGCAGCCAAGATTGGAGATGGATAAGCCTACTTGGTGTCTATCTGCATAATGCCGCTCCTGTTATTGACTGAATGATACCAAGCGTGCTTGGCGCTGTACAAAACATAAAATGAAGATGTGGGGCCAGATAATTATTTTTCATTCTGGCCCTTTTATGCTGCTTCAGTGGCACAGAAGGACCAGAGAACAGCTGAGATTGGCATGAAGGAGCTCTCAGTTGGTGCAGAGCAGGTTGTGGCCTGCTTCTATGCCCCTATTACCCCAGTTGTCCACATTGGAGGAGACATGTGAGACTGAGGAGGGTGTGTGTTCAGAATTCACTGTGCTCCCGCTATTCTTAGGGACCATAGTCAATTGGTGGAAGCTAGCACAGTCCTGGGATTGCCCTAGCCTATATAGATGCTCAGATCTGCCCTGGGAAGCAGGGAGCAATAATCTCTGCCAGACAGACTTTGTCTCTGCTGCACCAAGCAGAGAATTTGGTCCCCGACCAAACGATCTTACAATCTGCGTTATCTGCCTTTGGTTAAACTGTGTGATTTAATGCCCAATGGCAGGGGCTGGATAGACAAGTGCAATTTGTGTTCATCTTGATAAGTGAGATGCCAATCTGTTCTGGCCGCTGTACTGTTGCGCCCTGAAAGAAACACATGGTTTGCATACACCATTTTTCTTCCATCTGTGTTGCATTCAAATTCGTATGGGGCAGAAAAAAATACAAACGACATAAAATGTTTTCAATGGAAAATTAATTGGAAGATGCTGGATATTGTATGCTTCAGCCGTAGCTATTTGTACTAATGACAGTGACTGATTCAAAGAGAAAGGGGACAGGGAAAGAACGAGAGCAACTCTCTTTCCTTCGACTGAAGGAGAAAGGCCCCGAAACACAGGAAATCAATCATAGACTTCTTGTGGGACCTTGGGCAAGTCAAGTAGCTGCTCTGTGCCTCAGTTTCCCCATCTATAAAATGGGAATATTACTACTCCCTTTCTCTCTCTTTGTCCTGTTTATGTAGTATGTATGCTTTTACCTAGTATAGAGAGTTGAGCCCTTCACGTACTATTTAATCCAAACTGTACGAATCCTGTGATATTACAACTGAAGTAGTAGGTTGCAGACCAAAAGAACCTGCTTTAAATGAAAGCAATACTTATATAATGCAGCTAATTAGATATGTCCTGTGATCAAGTGGCCTGGGAAATCCAAGGACCTGAGTGCTATTCCTAGCTTTTTCACGGACTTCAAGTATGACTTTGAGCAAGTCATTTTGCCACTGTATCCCCACCCACATTGTCTAGACAGACTGTGATCACTCCAAGCCAGAGACTGTCTCTTAGTAGGTGTTGGTACAGCGACTGACAGAAAGGGCCTTGATCTTGTTTGCAGACTCCAGGCCCTACCATAACACAAACCCAATAATGCTGGAAACTCAAACAAACCATCTCCTCTGTTTTCTAAGTGATTTACACTATAGTTCATATTAGAGGCTGATTCTCTTTGGACACTTGTCCAGCCCTCCCTCCCACTCCCCATTCTGACAAGAGTTTTATATTTTGACAGTGAACTTGGATCACACAGAGAGAGGAGACAAGAGGATCCAGGAAAAACATATTCATTTGTGCCCTTCACTCTCACCTCCACTCTGCTGAACAGAGCATGGTTTCAACACACTAAGCCCTGGTCTACACTAGGACTTTAGGTCGAATTTAGCAGCGTTAAATCGATTTAAACCTGCACCCGTCCACACAATGAAGCCCTTTATTTCGACTTAAAGGGCTCTTAAAATCGATTTCCTTACTCCACCCCTGACAAGTGGATTAGCGCTTAAATCGACGTTGCCGGCTCGAATTTGGGGTACTGTGGACACAATTCGATGGTATTGGCCTCTGGGAGCTATCCCAGAGTGCTCCATTATGACCGCTCTGGACAGCACTCTCAACTCAGATGCACTGGCCAGGTAGACAGGAAAAGAACCGCGAACTTTTGAATCTCATTTCCTGTTTGGCCAGCGTGGCAAGCTGCAGGTGACCATGCAGAGCTCATCAGCACAGGTGACCATGATGGAGTCCCAGAATCGCAAAAGAGCTCCAGCATGGACCGAACGGGAGGTACGGGATCTGATCGCTGTTTGGGGAGAGGAATCCGTGCTATCAGAACTCCGTTCCAGTTTTCGAAATGCCAAAACCTTTCTGAAAATCTCCCAGGGCATGAAGGACAGAGGCCATAACAGGGACCCGAAGCAGTGCCGTGTGAAACTGAAGGAGCTGAGGCAAGCCTACCAGAAAACCAGAGAGGCGAACAGCCGCTCTGGGTCAGAGCCCCAAACATGCCGCTTCTATGATCAGCTGCATGCCATTTTAGGGGGTTCAGCCACCACTACCCCAGCCGTGTTGTTTGACTCCTTCAATGGAGATGGAGGCAATACGGAAGTAGGTTTTGGGGACGAAGAAGATGATGATGAGGAGGTTGTAGATAGCTCACAGCAAGCAAGCGGAGAAACCAGTTTTCCCGACAGCCAGGAACTGTTTCTCACCCTAGACCTGGAGCCAGTACCCCCCGAACCCACCCAAGGCTGCCTCCTGGACTCAGCAGGCGGAGAAGGGACCTCTGGTGAGTGTACCTTTTAAAATGCTATACATGGTTTAAAAGCAAGCATGTGAAAGGATTACTTTGCCCTGGCATTTGCGGTTCTGCCTTTGCAAAAGGTTTCTGGGGAGGGCAGCCTTATTTCGTCCTTCATGGTAGGACACTTTACCACTCCAGGCCAGTAACACGTACTCGGGAATCACTGTAGAACAAAGCATTGCAGTGTATGTTTGCTGGCATTCAACCAAAATCCGTTCACGCGGTGGGAGGAGGCAAAATGCGACCTTGTAACGAAAGCACATGTGCTATGTATGTAATGTTAACAGCAAGGTTTACCCTGAAAGAGTGTAGCGACTGTTTTATAAAATGTGTCTTTTTAAATACCGCTGTCCCTTTTTTTTTCTCCACCAGCTGCATGTGTTTCAATGATCACAGGGTCTTCTCCTTCCCAGAGGCTAGTGAAGCTTAGAAAGAAAAAAAAACGCACTCGCGATGAAATGTTCTCCGAGCTCATGCTGTCCTCCCACACTGACAGAGCACAGACGAATGCGTGGAGGCAAATAATGTCAGAGTGCAGGAAAGCACAAAATGACCGGGAGGAGAGGTGGAGGGCTGAAGAGAGTAAGTGGCGGGCTGAAGAAAGTAAGTGGCGGGCTGAAGACAGGGCTGAAGCTCAAAGGTGGCGGCAGCGTGATGAGAGGAGGCAGGATTCAATGCTGAGGCTGCTGCAGGACCAAACCAGTATGCTCCAGTGTATGGTTGAGCTGCAGCAAAGGCAGCTGGAGCACAGACTGCCACTGCAGCCCCTCTGTAACCAACCGCCCTCCTCCCCAAGTTCCATAGCCTCCACACCCAGACGCCCAAGAACGCGGTGGGGGGGCCTCCGGCCAACCAGCCCTCCACCACAGAGGATTGCCCAAAAAAAAGAAGGCTGTCATTCAATAAATTTTAAAGTTGTAAACTTTTAAAGTGCTGTGCTTAAAGTGCTGTGTGGCATTTTCCTTCCCTCCTCCACCACCCCTCCTGGGATACCTTGGTAGTCATCCCCCTATTTGTGTGATGAATGAATAACGAATGCATGACTGTGAAGCAGCAATGACTTTATTGGCTCTGCAAGCAATGATTAAAGGGAGGAGGGGAGGGTGGTTAGCTTACAGGGAAGTAGAGTGAACCAAGGAGCGGGGGTTTCATCAAGGAGAAACAAACAGAACTTTCACACCGTAGCCTGGCCAGTCATGAAACTGGTTTTCAAAGCTTCTCTGATGCGTACCGCGCCCTCCTGTGCTCTTCTAACCGCCCTGGTGTCTGGCTGCGCGTAACCAGCAGCCAGGCGATTTGCCTCAACCTCCCACCCCGCCATAAACGTCTCCCCCTTACTCTCACAGATATTGTGGAGCACACAGCAAGCAGTAATAACAGTGGGAATATTGGTTTCGCTGAGGTCTAAGCGAGTCAGTAAACTGCGCCAGCGCGCCTTTAAACGTCCAAATGCACATTCTACCACCATTCTGCACTTGCTCAGCCTGTAGTTGAACAGCTCCTGACTACTGTCCAGGCTGCCTGTGTATGGCTTCATGAGCCATGGCATTAAGGGGTAGGCTGGGTCCCCAAGGATACATATAGGCATTTCAACATCCCCAACAGTTATTTTCTGGTCTGGGAATAAAGTCCCTTCCTGCAGCTTTTGAAACAGACCAGAGTTCCTGAAGATGCGAGCATCATGCACCTTTCCCGGCCATCCCACGTTGATGTTGGTGAAACGTCCCTTGTGATCCACCAGAGCTTGCAGCACTATCGAAAAGTACCCCTTGCGGTTTATGTACTCAGCGGCTTGGTGCTCCGGTGCCAATATAGGGATATGGGTTCCGTCTATAGCCCCACCACAGTTAGGGAATCCCATTGCAGCAAAGCCATCCACTATGACCTGCACATTTCCCAGGGTCACTACCCTTGATATCAGCAGATCTTTGATTGCGTGGGCTACTTGCATCACAGCAGCCCCCACAGTAGATTTGCCCACTCCAAATTGATTCCCAACTGACCGGTAGCTGTCTGGTGTTGCAAGCTTCCACAGGGCTATCGCCACTCGCTTCTCAACTGTGAGGGCTGCTCTCATCTTGGTATTCATGCGCTTCAGGGCAGGGGAAAGCAAGTCACAAAGTTCCATGAAAGTGCCCTTACGCATGCGAAAGTTTCGCAGCCACTGGGAATCGTCCCAGACCTGCAACACTATGCGGTCCCACCAGTCTGTGCTTGTTTCCCGAGCCCAGAATCAGCGTTCCACAGCATGAACCTGCCCCATTAGCACCATGATGCATGCATTGTCAGGGCCCATGCTTTCAGAGAAATCTGTGTCCATGTCCTGATCACTCACGGGACCGCGCTGACGTCGCCTCCTCGCCCGGTATCGCGTTGCCATGTTCTGGTGCTGCATATACTGCTGAATAATGCGTGTGGTGGTTAATGTGCTCCTAATTGCCAAAGTGAGCTGAGCGGGCTCCATGCTTGCAGTGGTATGGCGTCTGCACAGGTAACTCAGGAAAAAAGGCGCGAAATGATTGTCTGCCCTTGCTTTCACGGGGGGGGGAGGGAGGGAACGGGGGGCTGACGATATGTACCCAGAACCACCCGCGACAATGTTTTAGCCCCATCAGGCATTGGGATCTCAACCCAGAATTCCAATGGGCAGCGGAGACTGCGGGAACTGTGGGATAGCTACCCACAGTGCAACGCTCCGGAAGTCGACGCTTGCCTCGGTACTGTGGAAGCGCTCCGCCGAGTTAATGCACTTAATGCACTTAGAGCATTTTCTGTGGGGACACACACACTCGAATATATAAAACCGATTTCTAAAAAACCGACTTCTATAAATTCGACTTAATTTCGTAGTGTAGACATACCCTAGGAGCAATTTTTTGTAATGGGTGAAAGGTGACTTTTGCTTATAACAAAGGTGCCAGATTGAGAGAATCTTCAACTGACCCTTAAAATGACAAGGAAAAAGGCCATTTTAATGCTTATTTTTGGTGGGCGTGAAATGCAGCCCAGATAAAGTTGAATCTTTTTCAACTGGGGCAATCTGGTGGAGAAGCCGTGATCCTGATTAACTGGCTTTTTCCAATTAAAAGAAGAGACTTCAAAATAAAATCTAAAAAGCGTTCAAATAAATACTTCCCTGTACCTAATGCGATATTTAAAGCGATATTCTCTGCATTCTGAACAGGGTCCTGACTACACTTGCCATTATTATTAAAATTATAATAATAGTGCCAAGAGCCCCAGCCATGAACCAGGACCCCAGCGGACTAGGAGCTGGACAAACACAGAACAAAGAGACAGCCCCTGCCCCAAAGAGTTTACAATCTACTAGTTTCCTGCCCTGGGTTCAGAGAGCTGCGATCGGCCGAATCTGCAGACGCTCAGATAAACAAATCGTCCTGGCCTGCCAGCGGATTTCCCTGATGGGCCATGTGCCAAAGGTTGCCAATCCCTGGTCTAAGATCTTAAATCCTTCCCACATCTGGACCTCCCATCTTGCCCCCTTCTCTGCCTCTTTCTTTCAGAGTGAAAACAATTTGGGCTAGGGACGGTCTGTATTTCCAAGTGCTCTACAACGCCAAGCATATCGTCTGCAATATGCAAAAGACAGAGTGATAATGAGCAATGGCAATGAATGAAGTTCTAGACTTCAACAGCAGATGCACCTTTGAGCGCTGCTGTCCATTTGGCTCAAGTGTTTAGCTAAAACTGCAGGGTTCTTGTTAGGAGGAGTCAGGTATATTCTTTGGTGCTAGAAGCTGAGAATGGGCAACAGGGGATTGATCACTTGATGATCACCTGTTCTGTTCATTCCCTCTGAAGCACCCGGCATTGGCCACTGTCAGAAGACAGGAGACTGGGCTAGATGGACCTTTGGTCTGACCCAGTATGGCCGTTCTTATGTGTATTTGTTTATTTACAAAGAATGTCCACAAAGTCCTGCTTCCCTGAAAGCAGTAGAAACAAACAGCAGGCAATTTCCTTGTTCATACATCCCCAGGTCTTCCACTCCAGCAGGTTCTGTGCTCAGGAAACCGTCTTTCTGCTTCCACTCAAAGCCGTGATTGCAACAGCTTCTCTCAGCTCTTTACCAGCTTCTTGCTCTAAGCCTCCAACACAGGCAGGCTGCAAAACCAATATCCTTGCCCCTGCCTTTCAACCAGGGAAACCCCTCAGCCCACAATCTTAGCTCTCCCCGGCCAGGTTCTTGGTCGCTCCTTCCGTTGCTTTTAGCTGTCTCTACTACGTGAAGGAGTTTAACTGATTTGAAAGAGAGCTTGGAACACCCCTTGACTTTAACTAGATCTGTCATTGTCTTTGGATCAAAGATTCAGCCGATGGCAACTATTAGTACTTTTCAATTTAACTAGCATAAATAATTGCACCATCGTTTCAAATGTAGAGGAGGTTATGTCATCTGCAGTGCAAATATATCCCCAAATCAAACCCAACAGAGCGCAAAGGAGAAGAATGGACAAAGAACTTTTTTGACTCCTGGATGTTTTCGTTTGCATGGGCACAGAGCATAGGAAAAAAAATCTCATGAGGGTAATGGAAAAAAAGGAAGGGAAGAAGATTCTGTCACCACAATGTTCAAAGGCTGAGTGACAAAAGAAACCAGTAAGGTTGGGTTCTGCCCCTGCAAGCAGAACATGTTGTACTGTTAACTTGGCCAGCTCTGCTCCAGTGACAAATAACATGCTGCTGAGATTTTTCTGAGCCCTTTTTTTGAGTTGTTTTTCTATATGTGTGTTAATGATGAGATGGAAAAGTACAGCAGGTGAGGTGTAAACCTGAGATCCTGACCAGAGCTAGTTGGGAATTTTCTGGTGAAACCTTGAACATGTTGATTCACAGAAACATATCTGGTTCAAACAAACTTTTCACAGGCTCCACTCGAAACGTGTCTTCTTTCCTGCCAGCTCACCTGAGCTACCAGTGTCCACAACTCTGGGGCCCCACCCTCTGCCACAGAATCTGGAAGCTGCTGACTGAAACTGACATGATTCTTGTCAGTTTCATTGGTCTTAGTTAGTGGTGGGCCACAATCAGCTGCTGACAAGATTCCCAGAAGAGATCATGTTTCATTTTGGAAACACCATGTGTTGGTGTGGCCTTTAAGCAAACCATGGCAATTTTCAATGAGTAAAGGCCAGACGCTGCTTTGGATTACATCAAGGACACATGCACTGAAGTCCATTCCTCTGAATACATAATAGCACTCCCAGGACCCAATCAGGGCTGTGCGCTAGACCTGGTATACACAGCAGCTAACATAGTCCCTGCCCCACAGAGCTTACAATTTTTGCAAGCCTGCTTTATATTTCCTAAACTCATACACAAGTACTGATCACACCAGGTCAATGCATGTGCGATTCCAACCTGGGCAACTGTCCAGACAGGCTGCATTTCAACAATATTTTATTTAATTACCGGGTGCTGCTGCCAGAGACGTACCAGTCTGCCCGAGCCCAATAATAACTCTTTCCTGGCAAACAGAGCTGATCCATATCTGTTACATCCCCCCACCTCCTTTCCTCCCTTCTCCTGCTAGGAACGCTGTTGTTTCTGCTGGCTAGGAAATGAGCCAAGTGAACAGTCTGTCTCCCCTCTGAGAGGTTCTGTGAGTTGCAATTTTATAGCAGGGCTTTTTGGTCAACCGCTGAATGGGATTTGCTCAGGAAACTCCTGTTGACTTGAGGGAAGAAAGACAGACATTTGCCTGGGACCTGGGCTCAATTCTTTCCCGCGTGATGCTGGGCAAATCACTCAGTCTGTTTCTGCCTCAGGTGGAGGGTATAAAACCCTGTACCAGACAATCAAACCTGCACTCACTCCTGTGCTTATTGTGTTTCCTTTGCAGTTTTTTTTTGCAATGGACTTTTATCAAATGGCTTTCAAAGTCTAGCTACAGGATGGCCCCAGTCTTGCAGGATGCTGAGTGCTCTGGTGAAGTTATTGTGCAGCACAAAACTCCAGCTCTACCTTGTTGGGTGTCCCAGAGAACTAACCGATTGGAGGGGCACAGTTTTCCTTTGCAGAATTGGGGTAACCTAATTCTTAGGCAATGCTTTTTCTAGCAGTAGATCTTAAAGGAAGAGAGTGTCACTGTTCCTATTTTACCTATGGGGAAACTTTAAGGTCTTCAACAAAGCTGGGCCTTGAACCCAGATCTCCTGAGTCTCAGTCCAGTACTCTAACCATTAGGCTCCACTGTTTTGTCTATAGCATATTATGCTCATCTGCTATATATATTTATCCATTGGGCACCAGAAGTGTGTTAACTCCCCCCCGCCCCACACTCCCAGCCATGAAGGATTTCCATGACACAGTGAATTGGCAGTAGAAATTCAATAACTGTCAAAATAAAATTTGGCCCTTTTCCTTTCTTGTATTGCCCTATTCCATACTATTTCTATGCCACCACCCTCCCCATTGTAGTATCTGAATGTCTGTCAAAGGTATTTGCAAAATGCTATACACACCAGAAGAACAGGTGCAAATGCTTATTGGCATGTGTTTGATGGTTTTAAGTCCAGAAAGCATTCATCCCAAGAGACAGGCTGATATCAGTTAAAAAACATTTTACCAAATTTGATCATTCAAAAATCATGAGTCAGGTTCCCGAAGTCCTGATATTGGCTTAAAGATCATGAAATTAAAGAAAAAAGAAATAGACACATTTTGGGTTCTTTTTATTTGCCTTTTGTTTTGAGTCATTAGGTTACACTCAGGTCACATTTCCAAGCTTCTTTCTGCAACTTTTTGTTGTTCTTTTGGTTTTATTGTAACTGAAAGGTGAGATTTTCCATAATCCCTTGACTCCAGCAGCTGGGGCTTTAAGAAAAAAAAACAACAACCCCAAATTAGGAGACTTGTGACAAAAATCTGAAGAGTTGGCAACATTGTAAACCTATTTAATATATATCGCAGATATGTTTCCCCCCTCTTGTAGTTCCAGGAAGATTTGTCAGGGTAAGCCTTCTTCCCCTTTGTGTCTGCTAACGTAAACTGTGCAGAGATATGTATAACAGCAGCCAGGTTAAAATCCTGCTGATACCTTTCAGAGAACTTTGGCAAAACATTTTTTTAAAAGTCCTGATGTTGGTGTTAACAATCTTTTTTCCTTTCCTTTGCCTCTTGCTTTAATTACAGAGAGGAAGTTCAGCTGTAGAGCCAAATACAAAGTTAGAAAGCATTTGGATCTCGGGGTTTTGTTTCAGGCCTGTGTCTATGTTTTAGTAATAGGAATATTTAAAAGAGAGGGCCTGATCCCAAGCCTGTTGATTGAAGTTAGCTGGATTCTTTTCTGGCTAACTGAAAGAGAACTGGAGTACTTGTGGCACCTTAGAGAGCAGGAGAGTGGGGTGGAGAGAGGTATTTTTTCATGCTTTGTGTGTATAAAAGATCTTCTACACTTTCCACAGTATGCATCTGATGAAGTGAGCTATAGCTCACGAAAGCTTATGGTCAAATAAATTGGTTAGTCTCTAAGGTGCCACAAGTACTCCTTTTCTTTTTGTGAATACAGACTAACATGGCTGTTACTCTGAAACCTGAAAGAGAACTGCATGTCAGGCCAGACAGTATCTTTGTTGCTTAGAGTCATGCCTCTGCTCCTGCTGCTTACTCTTCAACTTAAATAACAATCCTTTGTTTGCGAGTCACCATTAGTTGCTGTGGAGATAATTAGGCAGCCAGAAAATGAGAATGGTGATGTTATGCAAGGAAGAGAGAAGAGGAGCAGACACATTCGTGAAGCAACAGAGGTCTTGTTTGCTTGCAAGGTCCCTTAGTAATTACAAATAAATAAATGACAAAAACGGAAAACATTGAGCTAAATTCTCACTTGCCTTGTGCATGTCAGTGCAAACAACACAGAAACAAAGTGTAGCATTGTCTGGCAGAGGAGAACTACCCCAGGCCAGGCTTGTCTGAAAGCATGTTAAGAAAGTGCTCTGATGGTTGTGGAAGTGTATAACATGCGATGGCTGCCATCTTGGACAATACACTGGGGGCAGAACCAGGGATGTTTAGAGCAAAACAGACAAGCAACTACAGCTTGAGCTAAAGAGCCCAGCTTGTGTAATACGTTAGTTGTAACAATTAATATCCTCTGTGGACCGGCACAGGAGCGCCAGTAGCACGAAGTTGCCAGAAATTACACATGAATGGGCTAGGAGGCATACTTGTCATGTTCAGGCACATCGGCATAACAAAACCGCAGGCCCTTATACAGAACTACCACTGTGCTTATTCCTAGGGAATTGATTGTGCATGAGTCTTTGGGTTACTGATTGCAGGGATACTGGGACATAAGTAACTCAGATCTTGCAGTGGACACAGTAAATGCATCCGTTTCCACAGTTCATAGAATCACATAATCATACAAGATTAGAGTTGGAAGAGACCTCAGGAGGACCTAGTCAAACCCCCTGCTCAAAGCAGGACCAATCCCCAACTAAATCATCCCAGCCAAGGCTTTGTCAGGCCAGGCCTTAAAAACTTCTAAGGATGGAGATTCCACCA